GCACGACATCAAGCTACTTCGATACCTGTCTGTCCGATATATCTGTGACCTGATGGTGGAAAACAAGAAGGTGAAGTTTGGCTTGAAGTGAGTCTGGTTTCATTTGTTTCTCTGCAGGCTTTGGGTTGTAGCTAGTAGCTTTTATATGGAATTGTTATCGGGCATGCACTCGGCAACCTGGGAGCAGTCTGTGGAAGAGTCCTGCAGCAGGATCAGTTAGTTGATGCTGTAAAGAGAACCCCAGGGTTTTAGGCCAGAGAAAGCCGTATCAATGGGTAAGACAACTGCTTTCGTCTGTCTTCTGCAGTCTGATTAGGATTCCTCTGTAAAGCTTGCGGTGATGTGACAAGTCACCCCTTCAGGAAAGGGGAGAGCAAAGGAGCCCTCTGCTTATGTGTAGGAACAGATAGAGGTATTTGTCCTTTCCAGAGGAAAGCTTTAGTATTTTGGGGCTATACCTGTTTATTTGGATGTGTTGAGTAAGTTCTGCCCCTGCTCACCCCTGAGTTGAGTCATTGTACAGGGAGATGTGCCAGGTAGCTTTTTGGGTGCTAGTCTCTCCATGAAAAATACTCTACAAATGTCTGCTGTTTTCCTCTTGTCCTGTGCAGTGTGACGTCTTCTGAGAAGGTGGACAAAGCTCAACGTTACGCCGATTTCACGCTTCTCTCCATCCCATATCCAGGTACAGGACTGATGTCCAGAGGGACTCCTGAGGGACAGGTGACAATCCGTTTCTGGGGACTGGGAACTACCTGTGTGTGTATGTGTGGTGAAATCGATGTGGCTGGCTGAACGTTTCCTATCCTCCCTCTGGAGAGAAGCTCTTTTAAACTGAGAACAGTGCGACGAATCTGGATGCTCTGGTGGTGTGAGTCAGCATTAGGCACTCTTTGAGGTGGCAAAACAATTTCTCAGCTGTTCTAATGAGCTCAAGTGCAACAAAAAAGTCCCAGAGGTGGAGCTGGGGTTAAAATGGCCTTTGACACCCCCGCAACTCCAAACTACTGCTTGATGCAAATACGTATCTTGCTCTCTGTTATATAAAACCCCAATTCTCAAGAGTATTTTCTAGTCCTAGTGTTCCAGAGCACCACTGTAAGATATTCTCAGTGCTTGCCAGAGCTGTTAACCTGAGCCTGCAATGTACGACTGAGATGCAGACCACTCCAGCCCATCTTCCTGGCTGTATTGGTCCCTGTGCCTAGCAACCATTGCTGGGTCACTTGCTGCACTCTTAAAGATGAGCTGAATATTGCTGCCTGCCTGCTGATGTCAGGCTCGGTGATAGGATTGGATGTGAGGCTGCCGTGCTTTAGGTCTGTCTGCAAGAAAGGACTCTTTCTCCCTTGTGCACAAAGAAAGGGAGAGGAAGGGGAAAAAAAAAAACAAAAAACCAAACAGCAAAACTCTTACGGATGATCCGAACCCAAACTTTTCCTTGTTTATTAGTTGTTGCCCATAAACATCTTGTCTTGTCTTTTTTTTTTTTTTTTTTCTTAAAGGGGTGTTTTTCCTTTCACACAGAAATCGGTGACAATTCAGAGAAGCTACATTAATGTTTCTATCTGGTTTGCCGTGCAGATTGCCAAGGTGTACAGAAATAAGAGTATTACTGGTTTCTGTGGTATGTGTCACAGGTATATGTTGCACCTGTATGCCTCATCAAACTTAGACTGTGGGAGAGGCAGTCTACACAGGTCTTTTGTAGCGTTTGTAAAGAGTGAGAAAGAAGTGATTCTATAGGGTTAAGCTGTGGAGTTGTTGCTTTATGGGGATCTGCATGTTGTATGCAATATTCAGTGATGGTCCTTCCTCTTCTGCCATCTGGGACAGCTGCTATCTTTTAGCAGCTCTTCACTGCCATGCTAGAGGTAAACCTTATAAAACTGGAAATTCCCCCTGCAGATGTTGCCTGATTTCAGCAGTGCTGGTCCAGAGGGAAATGTTGTTGTTCTGTTAGATCTAAGGCATACACATCTAAGGATCAGCAACCCCTCTAGTGACTGGCCAAGTGCCATGATGCATTCTTATTGATGTTTCCAGGTTTGCATAGAAAGAATTTCTATTTTGTAATTTGTCCGTGAAGTTATTCTGAGATCCTGTTGTCTTAGGTGAGCAAAGCAGTGTCCAGCATTACTGTCTAGGGTGAAAGACTTGTGTTAAGGTGGTATATCTGTAGAAGCTTTTGTGCTCTCCAGTGCAGAAACCTTCTTTTGCATTTGACTGGTAGTTGCCATTTGTAGATGCCAATACTTATTGCCATAATCCCCCATTCTTTGCTTTAAGCTATTGTTTAATTGGAGTTAAATCTCAACTGACAGATTGCTTCCTGACTGTGTGTTTTTGAGGGCTAGTCCTGTCATTGCACAAAGATATTTTTTTTTTTTTGCCATTGGAGTTACTTGTGACTTGCAGGGTAGGAAGTTCAGTGCCTGGCACAGGGGTGTCTTGGTAGTGTGGGCACCGTGGCGCCGCTGAGGCAAACACACTACATTGGGAGAGGTGTTTCTTGTAGCTTGCAGGCAGCTGCAGTGCTAGTGGTGCTGCTCAGCTGTGACTAAATGACTGCAGTTTGCAGCAGAGACTTCTAGTAGTTGTTTGAGAAGAATGGAGCCAAAGGACAAACTTCAAGAGGGGAGGGCTTGGGGGAAACCTTGGAAGTGGTTATGTACCTGCTTCCTTCAGATAGGGCAATTTGCGTGTTTGAAAGAGACTGAAATGTGAGAGAAATCACAGCTGCCTCTGACAGAGCCCTTTCTTGTTACCTGCAGCAGGATGCCCTGTGAAAGCTGGCTTTCCCCAGGGCTCTGCCAACATGTCCTTGCGCTGGTTCCTTCTCACTCAGCGTGCCAGGCTGGTGCCTTAGATCTGTGCAAAAGCCAGTGGCCCTGAAAAGCACAGCTCCTTGGTGAAACCTCTTGTTTGGGAAAGAATGAAATCAGTCCCTCAAACTCCTCATTTGCTGCGTGTTTGGAGTTTGCCCTTTGCTCTGTGAGTGTGTTCACTGCTGAGCGCTCTGGGTTGTTGCTGCTGGGAGGCCATGCTGCACACTGTACTGATGATTACTGCTCTTCTCTTCCCGCAGGCAGCAGTTTTGATTGGTTTGGTGCTCTGGAGCCTGGGGCTGCCAGCACTTCCAGTCCCGTGGGCACTTCAGTTTTTAAGATATCAGTTAGCTGAACGGTTGTTCATTATTTCTTTTTCTTGCAGGCTGTGAATTTTTTAAGGAGTACAAAGATCGGGATTATACAGCGGAAGGTCTCATATTTAACTGGAAACAGGTACATGGATATTACAAAATGGAGAACTGTGGGCTTTACTGGGGTAAAGTCTTGCCCCAAAGTTCCTGAGCGATGTTGTGTATGTCGTGTTCTTATTTCTGATCACAAGGAGGACGCCAATAGGGCAAACAAAGCAGATAGTGAATGTACTAGATTACTCATTTGTTGTAAAATTTGTATGTGAAATAAATGAATCATTATCCTGAAGTTCAGTATTCTTAACCTCTCATGGGAGGTATGGGTTACTCATGGTTTTGAATTTGCTATATTATTGATAGCCTCTGTTCTCAGTTCTGTCTTTGTATGCTGCCTCCTGCTGAGGGAGATGGTTGAGTGGAGCAGCCCTACAGTAATTCATAAACTCAACATGCCTTGTCCCTGACTTTAACTGTTGGGAGCACAGAAGAGCTCCTCTTGTTCACCAGTCCTTCTAAGAAGCTATGAGTTAATTCTTACCACTGCAGGTTTTTGTATTCAAAGATGCTTTGAGACACTTTCTTCTAGATATGCATTGTTTGGCATTTGTTTTTTCTGGAACTTACTGCCTTCAAGTCATGACTTTTCTCTGACCAATTGTGTTTGGGGTTTTTTTTCAGGATTACGTAGATGCTCCATTAAGTATCCCAGTCTCTCTGACCCAGTCTCTGAATATTGATTGGAGTGAGTACCAGGTGAGCAAAGGAGGCGTCTCTGTGGGAGGTCGGAGATTCACTCAGGAAGGGTCAGTAAAGATTTGAAGTCTGACTTGCTCCTGTTGCGGTAATCTGCCTCACTTCACACCATCCCAGTGGGAGTGGGGCTGCAGACTTGATTGTTCAGAATAGCGGTGGAAATCCTCTACCCAAAAGCTTCCTGGCTTGGTGTGTCCCGAGGCAGCCGACTGTAACGTCAAATCTTTTTCTGTAGCTTGCGCAAAGCATTCAATCCATTAGGGAGATATGTAGGTAACAAAGGTAAGGAACATGCCAGCAAATGGAAAGCAGTATTACTTGCTCGCAGTCTTAACTAGGCACATGCCTGCAGTGGCAGACTTCCTTGGCTATGGGGAATCTTGAGAGAGATCAGCCTTCCCTTATGTGAGCAGTAGCCAAGTGACTGTGTACCTTTTTCACGGGTGTGCAAGGTACCTGTCCTACGAGAGGAGAGCAGAAAACCATAATTCACCATACTATGCCAGCATTGCAAGTGATAATTGAACTCCTGTGTTTGCCCAAGTTTCGAGGTTTACCTCTGTTCATGCCAGGGAATATCACCTTATACTGCTGATTAGTGTGCTACATTTCACACATCAGTGGACCCGGTTTTGTGATGATTGACTGAGCGTGTGATGCTCCTATACTCTGTGGCTGGAAGCACCGCAGAAAGTAGTAGAGCTCCCCGTGCTGGGACAGAGTTTGTCAGTTAGTGATGTAAATAATGTTTAAGTGCCAGCATAAGCGGAATCATGGAAAAGTAGCTTGCAGTGTTGGGACCACAGCTTGTTTGTGGCTAGAAACTTTCTCACCAGAATACTGAGCAGCCAGTATTTTTATAAGGATATTAAAAATTGAAGAGGGTGTAATAAATAGATGCAGAAATGATCTGACGACTGGAGATGGTGCTTCACTTAAAGCTGAAGTTCTCAGTCTGGTTAGCTAATCACAAAGGTGATGGAGGGTTGACTTGATTAATGTGTAAGTACATTTGCAGGGAAAAAATACTAATTTGAAAGCACTCTTCAGTCTGGGGAAAAAAGCTGCACAGGAAGCAGTGTCTACACTCTGAAATCAGACCTTCAAATAAGGAAAAGCAGCATATTATTTTTGAGGATGATCTGTTGGAACATGCTGCTAACGGAGCGATGAGCTGTCACCCCTAGCTGAGGTGCTTTTCTGGGCAGGAACGTAGCCAAATGCAAGCTTCAGGCTGTATTTGGGGCAACTGCGTAAAACTTTGTGGTTTGTGTTATAGAGAGATCAGACTGGATGACTAGATGATTCCTTCTGGCATAAGCACAAGATTGGGTTGACTTGGGCAGACGAGAGACTTTGGAAGTATGTGTTTTTCTGCCCCAGGCTGAGTGTATTCCCCATCTCCCTACTCTTCAGTTGCTGTACAGGCTTCATGGCAGAGCAATATGTTCTTTGTCTGACAGTAGCCTTAGCACGCACGTGTGTACACATGCAAGCACACAGAAAGTGTTCTATTGCTGGTGGTTGGGTGTCACTTATACCACTAACGCTGTCACGATGAAACCTGTGTCACTCTCCTTGCCTTTTCCGTGGTAGTGCTATCCTATTTTCCTTGAGCTAGTTCTGGCTCTAATCAGACCACTGAAATTCCCTGCATCATCTCACGACACAGTGGTTGAGAGTGACATGCTTGAGCTTGTTCTGATGTTTTTCACCTGCATCTCTTGTGGTCCTGGAGCCCTTCTGTGGCACTGCTGCTACCTGGGTGTTACTGCAGAAGTCCAGTGCCTGTCTGGAGCAGCTGGGAGTGGGTCAGGCCTCTGCAGGCAGCCTGCTATGGCCATTTACCAGGGCCAGAATGTTTTGAGCAAAGTGCTTGGGTTGTGGGAACGGGCTGCTGACCTTGGCCTGCTCACCCCATCATGCTGCTTGCATCACATACACAGCTGGAACATGGCTGCTGAGCCATTCGGTAAAGTGCACACATGCGGGGGGCTGCAGAACTGGGTCAGTGCTCCGCAGGTGTTTGCTGGTTCACATTAGTCTCTCTGAGCATGGTCCGCTTGGAGCTTTGGGGCTGCAGGCAAGCAGGTTCTGTGCCAGCCATGCAGACAGGAGAGATGGCCTTTTATATTATTTTTTTTTATTTTTTTCCCTCCCTGGTCTGTTGTCCCAGAGTGCTTTGTGTAGAGGATGGGGGGCTTGATTAGAGCACCAAGGGAGTCTGTCACTCTGAGGAATGGCCTTGGGGTTATTTCTGCTTTCCTCTTGTTCTGGATAGAGAAGCCAAGAGTATGGTGGGCTCTGAACTGCAGAGCAGCCTTTTGCTGTGGGCCACCCTTACCGTCAACATTTCTCTTTCTGCAGAGCTGGGACCTTGTGCAACAGACACAGAACTACCTGAAGCTGCTGATCTCCATCATCAATAGTGATGGTAAGGCAAACTCCTTGCTCCCGGCAGTCTAACTGGAGCAGTTGCTGTCCCCAGAAGAACAGGTGGTGGTATTAGTACAATTCTATAGAGAGCTTCACTTCTCTCCCTTCAAAATGGGGTGATTGTCCTAGTGTCTCAGGGCTCCAGCTCCCCTCTTGGAGAGGGATTTGCTGATCCTTTGAAGATCCTATCTTCCCAAGAGCAGAGGGGTGTCTGAACACTGTACCTGAAGTTTTACTGCTTTAAAACTGAAGGGAAGAAACATTTGTTCCTCTGCTTGTTGACTGTCTCTTATTTTACTGGACATCCATGTTTTATGTCCTCAACCCAGGGTCTCGTTAGGTGCCTATTTAAGAGCCCCTTGCACCTTCTGTTGTCACAGCCACCCCAACTCCTCAAAGTGCGTGTATTGCTTTATGTTGGCATCCTCTAAGCACTGTGACTTTGTACCTAGCGCTGCTGGATAGATGGAGCCATGGCAACTACATGGCCAACTACAGATCCTCCTGCAGTAGTTGTGTTGGGACGCACTGCGAATTTTCTGGAGAGCATAGGAGTTGTGCCCTGTGTGTGCCTCTGCTCAATGTGTACCAGTAGGAAGGTTGGTGAGACTGAAAAAGTGTTCAGTTGGAACAGGTTTCTCTCTGATGTGGGGATAGATAGTGATAGTGGGTTGCAGCTGAGTAAGTGTATGTTCTGGGTAGCAAAGTGATGTTCATACCTAGTGACTTTGTGTCCTGAGCAGCTGTCAGGACCAGGACAGCACATCAGCTGGGGCTGCTGACAACCCAGGACACTCTGAGCAATTTGTTGGCTGCCGTATTCAAGACAAAATGTCTTGTCTTGGTGGCTGAGCTCTGCTCTTGAGCCTGGGCTGTGGGGGTGGAAGGTAGCTTGTCTCTACAGATTTGCCAGAAAGAAAAGTCATTGCTCTTGTTGCAACATCCTTTTTTTTTTTTTTTTTCTTCTCTTTCCTACCCCTGCCTGGAACAGATGACAGCGGGCTCCTGGTGCACTGTATATCTGGCTGGGATCGAACTCCTCTCTTCATCTCCTTATTGCGGCTCTCCTTATGGGCTGTGAGTACCTGCCTGACCTGCTCTGCTTCTGGGGGTGATTGCTTGGAGGGTCAGTGACTGTGTCACCAGGAAGTGGCAATGGAGCAGTTAATGTTCCTTTTGACTATCTTGGCTTCAGAGAGGGCATGGATTGGCTTTGATGTGGAGCCCACCATGCTGTTGTGGCTTTCATGTGGAGCCCAACATCAGGCATGGTGTTGCAGGCAGGTGGGCATCTTGGATCACCATGATGGTTTTCAATAGATCATGAATTCCTAAGTCCCGATCCCCAGGCCTGCTGCCTGAAGGGTGTTCTCATTTGCTTTGCAGGATGGGCTGATCCACACATCCCTGGAGCCGTCTGAGATCCTCTACCTGACAGTGGCCTATGACTGGTTTCTCTTTGGGTAGGCACATTAAGTTTTACTTGCATATGCATCGCTGCACAGCAGGTGCGAAGCTTTCAGGGGGTCATACTTGGTGTTTGCTCACAACCAAAGGTGGATGTCGGGGCAGCTCCCAATGACCTGTGACAAGGCATGAGGATGATGCCTTTTTTTACCTGGAGGCTCAGGCATCTGGCCATTCTTCACAGCTTGCGTTCTTCTGCTGATTCTGGCTTCCAGCGTGTGACTGAGCTTCCCTTGCTCTCTTTCCAGGCACATGTTAGCCGATCGACTCAGTAAAGGAGAAGAGGTGAGTGTCTGGCCTGGGGCCGTGGCTGAGCACTGCTTTTTGTTCTCAGGGTACTTGTTTACAGTAGCAGCATTCCCTGCCCGCTTCTGGTAATAGCGGTCTGGCTGGGATCTAAAAAGATTGTTCAGGTGCTGGAAATAGGAGGTGGGAGTCTTGCCCCAGTCGCTTCCTGATGCTTAAGTTGTGGGAATGCTTTCCTCTCAGGCTGCGGTTTGGTTGGTGGGTGTCAGTGCTGCCCATTTCCCTGCTGTGCCATTAGTGTTCAGGCCCCTGGTGAAAGGGTGCTAGGGCTTGCTGTTCTGCTTAGGAATGAGAAGGGATGCTTAAGGCGAGTGACTCCTGGGAGCTTGAAAATAAAGCTGTATAGTCTTGTGTGCATGTCCTGAGTGCCAGCCCTCCTGCCTGGGTGCTGCAGCTGCATGTGGCTTGCGTGTCATCACAGAGCAGCTTGTGCTGCTTCCAGTGTGTGTATTTGACGGGGTGTGTCTGTGGGTGCACAGATGGGTCTAGGAGGCAGTTAAGATTAGTGGAACTAATTCTGTTCAAATCTTTCAGTATTTAACAGCAAAAAAATGATTGCTCTGACAATAGTTGCAGTTCGCTGCAATATCATTTTTGGATAGAGATCAAGAGGTGGGGAGTACGGCTAACGCTGTTGCTAATCCCCTGCTCCCTGGATTTTCACCTCATTAGAGAATCCCCTGCCTCTGAACAGCATCACCCCCCTGCAGAACGCAGAGCCAGGACCCTGGTGTGTTTTCCATCTCTCAGGGGTCTAGGACCCCTGTGCTAGTGTCACTCTTCCCATTCTTTCCTTCCCCAGAGCTCCCCTGGTTCACACCTCACAGCTCTGCTCTGCTCCAGTGCCTGCTTGGCCAAGGGTGGAGTCGGTAGCTGGAACAGAAGAGGGGGTGCATGGCTGCCTCTAGCACTCCCTGCTCCCCACTGCAGGAGGAGAAGGGCTCTGGTCTGTGCAGGTAGATGGGGTGGCAGCGGCACAGCGAGGTGAATGCCGCAGGGCACAAGCTTGAGACCGCAGATGCTGCAGGTACGGCATGCTTCCAGATGTGATACAGCTGTGGTGCCAAGGTGGAGCATGTGACTCTAACCCTGCTGGGTTTGCTGCTTACCTGGGTGTTCAAGCAGCTGCTGGGGGCTGTTCCATTCTGCACTGATGGCAAAAGTACCTGCTGTGTGCTTGTGGTGTGTGTGCAAGACATTGATAAGGAGACTTGTCGCACACTGTCCTTTCTGGGCCTCCCTGTGGCAGGGAACAGAGTGTCAGTTTAACGTGTAAGAGAAGGCCCAGGATGCAATGGTGGCAGCCCATGGCGTATTGGAGGGTGGTAGCTGCAGATTTCTTGCTATCTCCTTCCCTCCAGCACCTCCTCATCAAGATAAGAGGCTGCATGGAGCCTTGGGTTCATTCCTGAACAGCTCTTCTCTCTCCCTTTGCTCAGATTTTCTTTTTCTGCTTCAATTTTCTGAAGCACATCACCTCTGAGGAGTTCTCTGCTGTGAAGTCGCAGAGGTAAGGAGCCTGTGCCTGCTGCTGCATGGGCTGCAGAGCCAGGGAGCTTGTTAGTGCTGTTCCTTTGGGGAGATGGAAGCCCTGGTGTCCTGGCCCAGTTTTCTTTAATTTATTCTGCACTCTGAAGGCTGCAAAATGGGGCCGAGGCTTGTGAGGTGCCACGTTTTGCTCTGAAAAACTGTCCATGCTGAAATGTGCTCTCTGCTTAATGACTGTCCGTGGCTGCTTTAGCACGAGTGAACCCAGAGATGTGTGCTCCGGCTCAAACAGGCTGCGCAGCAAGCTCCATCAGGCGCTGCTGGAGGGAGCCGGGTTGGCTGGTTTTTAACAGTCCGCTGAACATTAACCCCTTCCTATTTCAGGAGGGGCAGAAAGAAGCAAAGCCTACCCTGCCGGTTGTGAATAAGCACATGTCTGCCCGCAGCCTGTTTGCCAGTCTCTCAAAGCACGAGGGGTTTGGGCTGGGACTGTTACGAGGGTCGGATACTGCACACCAGCCCCATCCCCTCCCCTCTGCCCCTGCACCGCTAACTGCCCGCTGCTCTGACCTGCTGTGCGCTACGGAGATCTGGCTATGGCCAGCCTCCACGCAGCCCTGAAGCGTGACCGAGGTAACTTTTGTCTTTCCTCCCCCAGAAGAAAGAGTTTGCCACCTGGCTTCACCCTGGAAGAAATCTGCATGCTCAGTGAGTGCTGCTGCCGAGCGTTAGCACCCCTGGGTGCTGGTAATGGTTGATCGCTTGGGGGTTTGGGTTCCCAGCATCAAGGTGACTACAAATGGGTATGCTTCCCTTGGGGCCTCGAAAGAACGCGGCCCCAGGGTGCATGGGAAGTGTATTGCTTAAAGGGAGAGAAGGTGAGCAAGACCAAGCTGGCCTTCAGGTAGTTCTGTTTTCTTTTCTCTAGAGCAGAGAGACCGAGGCAGCACCACAAGTCTGAGCAGTGACTTCTCCCTGGGGATGGAAAGTTCTCCTGGAGCAGCTGGGAGCTTCACTTATGAAGCAGTGGAGCTGATGCCAGCAGGAGCACAGGCTCAAGCAGCATGGTGAGGACATAACCACTCAGTGGGCTGCAAAACAAAAACAATAGGCTCCGGGCACGGGAGAAAAGACATTTCTCAAGTCCCTTGCCCTCCAGGTCTGCTCTCTGTGGCATGGGTTCCTTACACTGGAGGGAGGAATTTGGCTGTCGGAGGCTTTGCTGCAACTTGTGCTACAGAACTTCTGCACCAAAAACTGGAGACCATAACATGTTAATGACTGTGTCAGGTTTTTGTGAGGATGCTCCTGAAGTTTGTCCGCTGATGAGAGTAAAGCAGCTTTGTTTCATTTTCACCATCTTAGCTGTTCAACTTCATCTAGAAAGGATTTCATTACTCTTAAAAGATGGTTCCAAACTGCCAAAAAAAATTACATTTGGCAGCAGCCTTCACAGCGAAAAGTGGAGACAAAGTTTAGCTGCCCTAAAATTAAGCTTAATCAGCATATGAAAGAGATTATACAGGGGAGTGTCTGCAGTTAGTGGAAGGTGGGCTGGGTGGCCAAGAATCCCCTCTAAGCTTTAGCCCCTCTAATAGCACAAGGTGTAGGAGCTGAAAGCAGGTTGCTGTCTGCAGCACTGCTTAGAGATAATTCTTGGGGGAGAATATGAAATTCTCAGTGCTCCCTATTGATAGAGGGTCACACAGGACCCGCCTGGGGATAGAGGTGGCTGTCTGGAAGTGGGGACTGGGGAAGGTGTCTGGTGACTGCTGCTCTGGGACGGGTGTTGTGCTTGCTTCTGGAGTTTCTGGTGCTGTTTGGGGATTTTGGAACCTTTCTGGAGGGTTGCCCCTCTCAGTTTAATTTTTCTCTCCTCTCCCTCAGCACACGTGAAAATGCTATTTTATATTGCAATTATTTTAAATTAAATCTGGGTTGTGCTGGAGGCAGTTGAAGTCCTCTGGGACTGAGCCTGCAGCCATGCTAGTGGCAGCAGCCTTTCTAAAGCACATTGTGATTCAATTTATAAAATGCTGAAGAGGGGAAGAGAGAATCTTCCCGCAGAATCACAAAATGGAGATGGAGAGCACCGAACTGCGTTTGCCAAGTGAGCAGCACAGAGTCCTCTAACACACAACACCTGCCTATCCCCAGCAAAGTGACTGCAGCAAGTAGAGAACAACTTACCACTTGCATGGCTACAGGGTGGTAAACTGGAAGCATTTACGTTGCTCTGAGTGCTCAGGAGATACAGACTAGATCCTGCAGCATGAAACCAACATGTGATCTTCATAAGATGTGAAGTGGCCGGAGCATGTTGGAAGAGATCTGCTGCACTTGTGTGTCTCAGGGCTTGATTTTTGTGACGCGTTTTCTAACTCTGGTTTGCTTTCATTCCTGCTGGAGACATCAGATTGTGGTGGGTTTAGCTGCTGCTACCACAGTGATGGTTTGGGCCCATGCTGTGGGCATGAGCTTGGGGAAGGGAAGGTTGTGAGCCTTGCCATGACTGCTTAGCGAGGGCAGTGGTCACAGATACCTTGCTGCGGGCTGTTGTGGTTGTGTAGTCTGGAGAACAGGTAGGGCTTGCTACAAGCTGGACTGTGCATAGTGTGAGTGGGGAGAGGAGGGCATGTGCTTCATTGTGTTGTCCTGAAAACAGGTGGCCTCGAGGTCTCCTTGCAGGGAGAGGCATTTGGTTTTTAGCTGTACAGGCTTGTTTCTGCAGGCTGTGCTTGGAGATGTTGGCAGCTATGATAACATGAGATGAATAATGCTTGAGAGAGGCTGTGGTGTGATGTTTGAGGGTGGACACACTTCAAGAAGTGAAGAGAGGATATCATGCTTCCCACTGTACAATGAGCCTGTCTTTAGCTGCACTTGCTGACAGTGCTTGAGATCTCAGTCAAAGCTGAGGTGCCCTTCCAGATTCCAGGGAGAACAGCATCTTTTTTTCCCCTTGAGTTTGTTTGCTTTAGACTTTTCCTTTTTACTTGTGTACATAGAGAGGTCTTTGTCCAATTCACTGTAGTTTTGGAAGGCGAAAAATTCTTGATGCTCTTCCAGAGAAAAACAAAACAAAACAATGTAAGAAAGAAAATCTTCTGAACGTAGAGCAGCAATGACGTGAATTAGTCACACATATGTGTGCCTGTTCGGCATGTAGCTGGATGGTATTGTGAGCTTAGGCCCAATGCAGCAATGGACAGTGAATCACACCCGTCTGAATGTGCTGGCTAGAAAAGAAGCCAGAGCAGTTCTGGGCTGTCAGCACAGACAGGGAGAGGGCTGAAACGCACCTACATCTGGAGTGATTGTCAGCTCTGAGCACGTGGTCCGAAGTGTGGTCAGTGGTGCCTGAAGGGAATCGCCTAAAGGGAAAATAACACTGGTGATGTGTCCCTGTCACCCTCATCAGCGTGCACAAACACCCACCTGGGCTGAGCTCCTCGGCTGATACACTCTGTAGAGTTTAGAGCAGATTGAAATGGTCTTTCCCTGCTGGGAGGCCCCTTGCTTGAGGCATTTTTACAGCTAGACTAAACAAAGCAATCGCTGTATGTGTGTGGGCTGATGCATTCTCCTGTCTCTGATTTCCAGGTCACGTGGATGGTGATCTATAAAAGAATGGGCCAAGATGGGTTGAGCTCAGTGTACCACCCGTGACTCATGGTTCTTTGGGAGGGAGGAGGGCAAGTTCTGTGGGAACAAGAGCTTATAGCTGCTGGGGTAAAATCCAGCCTGCTGTGGAAAGGCTTCCTACTTGCAGTATATGGGAAAGCCGGTATTCTCACCCAAGTCCTCCATCCCACAGGAGGAAGAGTTGTGCATCGTCACCACAAGCCGTGCTCTGGAGCAGGGCACAGCAGGCTGAAGACAGACTGCCTTCCACGGGGATGGTCGAAGTCAAGTCCTCCAGCTCCTCCTCATCAACCCATTCTGATAACTTCCTGAGGATCGGAAGCAGCCCACTGGAAGTGCCCAGATCCAGGTGAGATGGGACAGAGTAGAGTATTTCTCAGCAAAGCAAGTGTCTGGTCAAGGGAGTGCAGGGCTGCACTTGTGTGGCTTTGAGAACCCTGGAGCACATGGGTTTGCATCTACAGACGGGCCTCAGGTGGCCTGTTAGTCTCTAGCCTGACCTTGTGTAAAATGCTGGCCGTTAAACACAGAAACTCCTGCCTCAGCCCATTTAGAGTGAGGAACTGTGCCCATAACAGCTGGGTGTCTGTTCTGCCTGTCCTCAGCGCATGCCTCAACTCCACAAGCTCTGGCATCTCTGCATCCTGCATGCTTGGAGCTCATAGCACTTTCTCTCTCAAATGCTGAAATGGCTGTGTTGGGGGGGGGGGATGAAGCCTTTCAGACCAAGCAGACCTCACTCTGCATCTGTCCTGTCCCCATTTCCACCTGCTGACCTTCCTGACACTGCAGGGTGGAAAAACTCTGGGTGCTGGTGACAAGCGGAGGTAGACTCCGCTGCGAGCAAGCTGTGAGCACTGTGCTGGGGCAAAGGATTTTGCATGGAAGGCTGTGTGTTCCCGTTGTGCAACCAGGGAATGGGGACCATGGACCTGAGCTTAATCTCATGCCATAACAAAGGATATTCTGGCACCCTTCTGGAGTCTGATGCTGTGGTAGGGCAAAGCAGAGCAGTGAGCTAGGCTGGGGAAGAAAGAACAGAGCCTGTGGAGCAAACACCATGTGTTTAGGCCGACAGGGGATAAAGAGGCTCTTAGATAAGAGGTTGCTGTTAACAGCATCAAACGCTTGTGTAGTCTCCACAGGTTTTCTGATGAGGCTTTTTCTAGTGATTCCCTTCAGAAACAGCCATCAGCCAAATTTTAGTACTTTCATCACACATGGAAAATAAAATGACAAACAAGTAAACCATTGAAAATTTATAAGACTTTCTTACTGAGTTTCTTGATTCCAGAGAATAATCGCTGTCTGACAGTTTTCATAAATGATGTGAACTGTTCTCCCCCGGGAAAGAGATCAATAGGGTGTTTCTGAGTTGTTGCTGGGGCCCACCTCTACATTCTCTGTCAGATGAAACAATTCTCCCAAGAAGAGGACAAAATATGGAAGAAAAAGCAGCTTGTCTTGGGGACTGCTTTTGTCCACGACGGTAATGCCACAGTTCCTATGTGTGGTCTCCTGCCATTCCCAAGACCTGACAGGCTGTTCAGCGCTGGGCTGGCAGCAGGCTCGCAGCAGTGCTGTGGAAGAAGCTTCAACCGGACTCTGCTCTGCGAGAGCAAAGAGGAGAGACAGAGTAGGCAGAACAGCACTGCAGGAAGGGGCTGAGCACACAGTCCCTGGGATTTGCATTTCAGGGGCTCAGAGTTTGTAAAGCCAGCAATTATCTTTCCTCTGGCTGTGTCTGGATGAGGTGTCTATAAGCTTTTGGATTATTAGTGCCCGGTGGTGTCAGGTGTTCAGAACAGGCACCCCAAGGGCTTAAGGCAGCAGGCAAGCATGGTGAGGAAATTTGTAACTGCCAGGCCAGAGTCCCTGGGGATGGCTTTTCCCTGTGCCCAATAAATAACCTGAGAAGGAGTTGCAGTATTCTGTCATTGTAAGAGGTAAACGTTCTGTGAATCCCACTATAAACATTTCTTTCTGACGTTTATGATAGCTTCTACCGTGGCACAAAGCCTTTATAACCCTTCAGCGTAGCAAAGTGTCACCAGCCCACCCCCAGTCCCTGTTAACTTTTGTGAACAAGGCAGCCTGAAGGGCTGGGCTGTGGAAAGAAAGTACGTGAGGGGGGAACCGGGGATAGAAGGAGAGCAAACCCCGTGCACAGCCTGAAACCAAGAGGACAGGAGAAGAGAATTAGTTGTGAGGCCAAAACAGTGGAGTCAGCTGCACGCAAAGATGGTTAGCCTGCTACACTCGTTCTGGCTGGAGACTGTACACCTGTATGCTCTCCATCTCTGGTTCCACCTGGATTTCCTCTGCTCCTCTTGGTGTTCAGGCTGGAGGAAATAAGCCAAGAGACCCTGCAGGGAGTGGGTGAAATTGTCAAGGCAATGGTCAAATCAAGCTTCTCTTTCAAACCAAGTCTTCTGGCACGTTCATGCTCCTTTGCCTCCTAGTCCATTGCCAAATCAGCCAGACTGTGGTCTCTGCCCTGTCTGCCTTCCCTGGGGTAACACTGCTAACAGCTCTGCTAGCTAAGGACTCGAGCGATGCATTGCCTTGTCAGATGCTGGCGTGGCTTGCACTTTTTGGGGCCTGAACACGGTACATTTTGTCTCCAGAGAAAGGGTTTCTATCACTCCACTTGGCTTTGGTCTCCCTGCTCGGACCATGTTAGTCTGAATTTGTCTGATGAGCTCCATGCAGGGAATGGATATGACAGTACCTTCAGCCACCATTTTCCATCCTGAAGGAAAGGAGTCGTCCTGTCTTGGGTGGAGAAGGAGTGTGTCTGCGATAGAAGGAAGAGGTAAATTCTCTCCCTTCACCCCCTGAAAAAGGTGGGACAAGAACGGAAAGGCTGGAGCACAAAGACCCATCATGGTGCCAAAAATACCTTTATCTCTATGGTGCTGCTGGAAGGTTAACACTCAAGGCTCTTAAGATGAAGAAACTACTGTACTTGACTTCCTAATCTTCTGGTTGTGTGGCCATAGCAACAAAACACTTAACCGCTGCAGCAGCAGTTGAGGAAAAATGGTTGCTTGTGAAATGCCAGCAGGCACCCTTCAGGTAGTTCACATAAACAGCCCAGTCCACGCACTGGCAGGGAGCGGAGCTCCAGAGGGAACGGGGAGGCAAGCCGGCAGAGAAAGATGAGCAGGGCCTGGGAGGGGAATTGGGGTGTCCTAAAGAAAAGAGTCACAGATGCCAACTCAGCTGGTGGGAGCCAAGCCCCTCTCCTGGCTGGGCCAGGTCAGCAGTCTGCTGCTTCCATCGCCTCACCAGCCCATCTTCTGAGTTCTGCTCTGATCTAGAGGTCCTGGGTACCCGTAAATCCTGGGATGGTTCTTGTTAGGCAAAGCAATACAAAGGCAAATTCCTAGCAGTTTTTTCCAGCTTATCCCAACGTGATGGTAAGATCACATCTGCTGAGGGCAAACATGCGTAAAGACACTGCATAGATTATCTGCAGGATAGAACAAGGTGCTTCTTGTTCTCCAAACGGAGCTCTGAGCATGGCAGATAGCATGCATTGACTGGAAATCCCTGTGTGCGAGTGGGTAGCAGCTTGCAAACTATGTATGTTCTGTGTTTGCATTTGACACTAATAGTCTAAGTGTCCCATGACACTGCAGAAAAGCCCTGTATCTGTGTCAGGGATTTAGCGTGTGTGCACATTGCACTAATGTGGATTAGCAGCTGGATAATCTTTGGTTGAATGTGCTTTTGCTAAGTCAATTAAACAAAACCCAAAGTACTGAGATCTGAAGAGTCGAGATCTGCAGGAGTTAAATCGTGGAGGATCTGCTTTGGTCAACAGCAACAGAGAACACTTACTTATAGGGCTGAGGTGGTTCAGCTGTGGGTCTAGAGGGAGTGCAGTCAGCACAGAGAGGGACAGAGAAGCTGCTGTCCCTTGGCTTTGGGTGTTTTGTTGATAGTGATAAGACTGCGTGCGCACTATGTGTCTTGCTCCATACAGCCACCTGGCTTGGAAGCTCTATGTGCAATGTGACAACTTGGGATAGTGACCGCAGCAGGGCAGGAATTGTTTTCAGGAATGTTTTCTGGAATTATTGCACGACTATGCCACAAAATCAGCTTGCTGGCTGACACATGACTGTGCTGCAATCAAAACCAGTTGTGCTCGCAGAGGACTGGCTGCTCAGGCTGTTACGGCACTAACACAGCCTGTAGATAGCTGCCTGGGATTCAGCCAGGGCTCTCGGTGCAGCTCTCTGCCAAGTACTGCTTGCCAACATTTCCCACGCAAAGGTGGGAAGGGCTGCCCTTTACTCCAGGTTGCCACAGTCTGCCTGTGCGTACGGTACCTACTTAACGCTTCAATTTGAGGCACAGACCATATGCTGGCAAATGAGCTGCTTCCCAAATGGTCCTAGGTGTGTAGAAATATGGCAGGTAAGCGGGGGCAGCGCAGGGCAGGATGAGAGCGTAGCTGTTGGCACTTGGCACTCGTTTCAGTTATGTATTAAGAAAGGGAAGGATCTCTGACTGTTGCTCTGCCTCCGGTATTGGCTCTTCTCTGGTAGGCAAGTGTCCATGTGCTCTGAAATACTCTGTCTTGTGCAGCGTGTTGCATGGGAAGCGCTGACCTAATTAAAAGGAACTGTTCCAGGCTGGGAGTTGCCAGTTTATGGCCTGCTAGAGGTCCCTCCTTGTGTGAAGGAACAGCTTGCAGCTCATCTCTGTTTTGATAATCTAATTTTGTTAATCTTGCACTTTTGAGGGAGTTTCTTCCCACTCGTGGACGTGAAGAGGTGGGTGTGTGAAGCTCACTTTCATTCTCTTTCTGTCTGCCATTAGATGTCTGTGGCAGAGACAGCGACTTGAAAACTTGCTCTATCTCATCTTCCCTAACCATGTCAGCTCTGCCGTAGCTGTCCGGCTGCTTCCCAAGACCCTCTGCGCTGCCCTCACAGCTAGCCAGCCTCTAGCATGACTGTAAAGTGTTGCAAACATGCTGTTCTCACAGGCTTGGGGACTGGTCCTGGTGTCCCAGCAGCCCCAACTTGCTCTGGGGGCCTCACTGAAGCCCTTTTTGGGCCTCCGCAGCAAGACTTTACAAGGAGTCTTCAGGGGGAGAAATATCAGGAAGACTTTCACCTCTAGCATTGACTGGATTGCACTGGGATACAGTCACCCTAGAGATCTGGTCTTGGTCTCAAGCCAAGCTCAGCTTTGAAGAAGCTCTGCTGCCCTTGCAGTGCAAACACAAGATTTCCCGTGCTATGCCTTTCTCGCCTGTCTCACCCAGCCTTGGCCCCTGCTGTCTCTCGAGGCTGTTCGAGATGCTTGTTGGTTGTGACACTTCCACAGGAGCCTCTCTTGAGAAGGCGTTGGGGATAGAGGGTAAAGTCTGCCACGATATCCTAGCTCTGCTGGCGAGGCTCAGATATCTAAGCCAGGAGAGGGATGACCTGGACTCACTGCAGAGTCAATCAGTTTATTCAATTAATCGACAAGTGTTTATTCTGCTGCCTGGAGGCAAGACACAGAACTGGCTGCCTTGAACTCCTAGACTCCTGTGCTATTAGGTTAGATGTAACTTGACTAAGTTTGCACAGTTGCTTGAGAGGGTCAGGGACTCCAGGAAGAGTTAGAGGGCTAAAGAGCCACTGAGAGTCAGTCTTGTGGGAGGTACATAATGCTCTTATCAGCCTGTCCAAGAAAAGAGTCAAGAGGTGACTTGATCCACCTCCAAGAGGTGGTGTAAGATCAGTCTGATCTTAGCTGACAAGCATAGAAGAGGACCAGCAGCTGGAAGCTGAGGCTGCACACCCAAAGCAGGAAGCAATTTTCTGCTTACCTTCTTTAGCATGGACTTATCTGACCGGTGTGCTTGATCATACTGGGCAGAGGGACATTTTTCTGGCCCTGGGGCCCTGGATCACGTTTTACTCCTTTGCTTGCCACATAGGCAGTGTCTCCTGGTCAGGCTCCTGATAATACTCTCCCTTTGTGAGAACTGCAGAGCTCTGCTCAGTTCTCTTCGCCTTCACTTGGAGACCTTGCCATAACCCAAGCCCTCCTTTGCCATCCAGACTTGCCCTCTTGAAAACCTTTGTTTCTGCCTGGCCCCAAACCTATCCTCTGTTCGACAACTCATTACTGTTCTGACAGAATCATGTCCCTGTCTACTTTTCAGCCCAAGCTCATTGCCCAGAGACCTCTTTACTGCTTTAGCTCAAATTCCTGTCACTGCATGTGACACTTCTGTTTTTCTTGTCTGGCTGTGCTGTACTCTCAGGGAGGTGACATCCTCCTCTTCCCTCTGCGCTGAGGCAGTGTTCCTCTATGCTTCTCCCTGGCCTCCTGCACTGCTCCCACTGTGCTTCCAGCATGGCACCATACTCTGGGCCCAAACGCCCTGCCTGCTCTCCTCCATCGTGCTGACTTCCTTGGCTTTGTCTTCCAAAGGCAAGGAGAGGTGTAGATGTCACTGAACAGCTGCTCCCTTTGCCTTACGAATTCCTTGCATCCCAGGGAAGGTTATTGCTGTCTGATCTCCAAAAGGTCTTTCTAAGAGTATATGCTGCAGTTCCACTTTCAATGAAGTGTCCTCATTCTCACTACGGTGTTCCGTGCTCTAGGAAAACCAGCTTTTTGAAAGAAGGGGTTCTCCTAATACTTAACACTAGCAGCACCTCTCTGAACCTCACTCCTCAGTTCATCGAGCAGCCAGAGAACAGGAGCTATCCACGGCAGGTGAAGCTCTGCTCTTCCTGTTTTCTGCTGTGATGCCTTTCCAGACCCTGAACTTCCAAACAATGGCGTTACCCCCAAACGGCAGCTGCGGGAACGTCAGCACTGTGACGGGATGCTGACATGCAAGGACCTGTGTGACTTCCCCTTCTCCACTTGTGCAGCCAGCTCAGGACAACGTTTCAGACTTCTCAAACTCGGCCATATTGATCAGACTAGTTAAATGGCAGGCTTGGAATTAGATCGAGATTGCAAATAGGTTTCCTGTTGTGCATCTCCCCCCACCCTTGCCTTCCAGTCTCGCTGAAGTCCTCCGTGCTGTGGGAGATCCTGTCTTTCTGGCTCTTCTCCTGGTCTCTTGGGGAGCAGCTGCAGTGCACCACTGCTATTCTTAGCTGTGAAGACAGCGTGCAGGTACCTGGCCCAGCAGAGCTGGAGCTGGTGCACTGCTATCTGCCCAGCAGATCTCAGATAAATTATCCAGAAGATCTTGGTAGTGTGTAATTGAGTAGCTCTGCCACAGGCTGTGCTTCCAGCTATGTACGCTCTGCTGTGCAGCAGGGCACAGTAATTGCTTGCTCCCCAGAAACCAAGAGCTCTGGGTTCGTCTCAAGTGATTGTGCCCTCTTCTCTCAGATTTTGGAGGGACTCCTCAGATTCATTTACCAGATTTCATGCTTCCTCCTTTCCTGGTGGGAGGTTGCATACATCAAACAATTATCCTCCCTTGGCTATTTTTCCTATTCTAAAGCAGTTTTGCCACCTGATTTCTGGTGCAGTCCATTATTCTAACACAGGAATTGAAAGTTCTTCAGATGCTGGGGGGAGGCCCTGGGGACATCTTGAGCAGTGCCTGGCTCTGTTCAGATCTGGTGTTAATACTTCAGGAGGAGCGATCTGCTTTCTAATGGCTTCTGGACGAACGATCTTCCTCGGCACTAACCAAGCCACAAGCTTGATTCTCCATCAGGCCTTGCTGCTGCTGCAGGATGTGCTACCAGCTACAAGAAGCAACCAGGGGGATGCCCCTTGTACAGCACGATGTCCACATCTGTGAGAGATTTGGGGCAGGACGTGCCGTTGCATCTCACTAATGGCTTTCACAGTTCTGCATGGCCATCTGCTTCTTGCTGGCTCTATCCTGTCCGGCTCCCGGTGCGCTCTTGCTGCTTTGTCGGCCCCGGCCAGCTTGGCTTTCCCCTTGCTTTCAAAGGAAAGGTTTGGCCTGGAGCCCGGCCAGAGCCGCGTGTTGCACCCTGGTCCCCGAGTGTCAAAGCTGCTGGCACAGGTGCCGCTGGCAGTCGGCCCGGCAGGTCTCTGGCACCAGCGATAGTGAAAGGCACGTGGCTGAATGACCTGACTGATCGCGCCGTCTCCCTCTCTCTCTGCCCCAGATCGGCGGACCATTCTCTGCCCGGATCTTCCGTTTCCACAGACTTTGGCAGCTGGCAGATGGTGACAGGGTGTGGCAGTATTCGGGAGCAGGCAATCCTGAGCGCAGACGCCTCTCTCCCTTGCAGCTTCCCGGATGAGTTCCCTAGCACTTGCCTGTAAGTGTGTTAAACGCAGGATCTCTCCTTGGGTTTGTCGGCTGGCGGCGAGCGCTGGAACTTTATCACCCTGGCACTTTCGAAGAAGCCTGGGAGCCCATAACAAGCTGTCCCATCTTCCCTTCTTTGGTGCTTTCTGTCCACAAATTCGGTCACTGAGTGCTCTTTGCTTATGCTGAACTCAGAAAGAAACCGGCATCTTCTCTGCCTTATGACAGGGGGGGCACTTTGCTTTCTGTAGGAAGAAGAGGCTTTTCTCTCTTCCCTGAAGACACTGAATTTGGGCATAATTGAGTGCATTTGAGGATGCATGCTTGTCAGGACAGGACTGGTAACCCAGATTTTCTTGCTTTTGGATCTTGCTCGTCTCCATCTCCCTGCTGGGGTCAGATCCTTACTGCAGTAAGAGAGAGGCTTTCCTTCTATCGCCCTAATTTTTGTCTGACCACACGCAGCATCATTTGCAAGTGCTGCGTCTGGCCAGCGCGGAGCAGCAGACACACTGCATCCTGCTGCATCCTGCCATGTAGAATGGCTGGGAGGCAAATGTTCCTCCCCATACAGAAAGCTGCCTCTGTGGAAGCTTGAAAGACAGGAGATGCGCTTTAATTGCCGTTAGAGGAGAACCTTGGCTTGTGCCTTCAGGCTGCAGATTCTCAATCAAGAAACTGAAATGGCAGATCAGGGGCTGCCGGTAGCTAGCTGTGCTAGAGTTGCGCTGCCAAACGCTTGCGGTCCCTTACTCAGATCCGAGTACGTGTTTTGGAGGCAGAGGGCAAGTGCCATGAAAACCAACATCTCCTATGAGACAGGATAGCTTCCCTGGCTCACTTTCTCATGTGGCTGTGTGCTGTGCTGCTGAGCAGAGCAGCTGCCCCCAAATTATGGCGAAGCTACAAGAGCCATGAATTGGCAGATCAAAAAATCAGGAGAGATGTCAGACATGGCCTGGCTGGGATTTGCTCTCCTCCTTTCATGAGGACACGCTGAGCTGCTCCTGCAGTTGGTTGGAGATGGGTGAGGCAGCAGAAGGGACTGAAGGATGGACATCTGAATTAATGGCCGCTTTACTGTCCCCTGAACCTGGCTGTGCTTGGTGGCTGCTGATCACCAGCGAGTTGTTACTGCCCTTGGAGCTGGATCTAATGTCAGAATAGGGAGTTCGGTAGAGAAATGTGGATTGAAGTTGAGCTCTGAGTTGGCCTGTGCTGAGACAGTAGGCTCATGCGGTTTGGAGTCTGGCTGCGTGAGACAGGCGGGTTCAAAAAAAAGGGGAACAGTGGTGGTGCTTCTCCCTTGGGTGTGCAGCAGATGCTGCGAGTGCTTTGGCTTTTTCAGCTCTTCATTGGAGCTGCGGGGTGCTCAGGGGCTGGGGGACACTCGATTGTGGGTGCTGGGGACCAGGCACTGTTTGGAAGGGATGAAGAGTTCCCAAGGATGTTGTGTTGAGCTTGACCCAGGGCCTCCACTCTCTCTCTGCTCTGCATCAGCTCTGTTTGCTCAGGAGCCCATTGTGGTTCTATCCTAGTTTTTCGCAGCCCAGCACAGTATGAGTTTTTGGAAAATTAAATTCCATTTAAGTTCCCACTTTACATCTCAGCTGGCAGCAGCTCGGTGAAGGTACGCTTTTTCACAGCCTACTTCTTGTGCTTGTGTGGGGCTTGTCAGGGCTTACTTCGAGGTGGGGCTTTGACAGCCTCCTCTCATCCTGCACCCCAAGCTGCAGACGAGCGGGCAGGCTGTAGGAAGTGTAGCAGGGCAGAGCGCCATGGATTTGGCAAGGAAGCATGACCTGCCTCCCTGGTTGAACTGATTGGAGTGAAATGGTGCAGCCGGTGTGCAGGGCTTGGTGTGGTGCCGTGGAGAGTGGCTTGACCCCGTGCCTTGGAGTGTCTCGCTCCATGAAACATTAAATTGAAACATTGAAATACAAAAACTGCCCCGTAAAGAGGTGCAAGAGGCAGAAGAGACGGGGACGCTTACCTCTGTGTGTGACATTTAAGCTCAGTGTACTTGGGTGCAAGGTAGTCCTGCTTTCATACAGCTTATTTTTAATGCTAGCAGGTTTGCGAGTTCCACGTCCTAATTAGGTTGCCAAAAAAGCATCTTTTTAATGTGTTTAGATATGTTGCCTTTTTTCCTTCGCCCTCTGGCTTCTCTTTATTATCAGACACTGTAAACAGCGGCCTGGTTGGCTGCCTCGGCATCGCTTGCTGTTTATAGGCCTCCCACCATATCCTCTTGCTGCTGTTTCCGGACCGAAGCTGTTGGCTGTGGGTGGTTAACACTTCCATTCAAATGAGCTGTGCCAATTTATAGCCAGCCCAGGCGCTGGAGAGATTAAAGAGAATTTTTTATGGGGAAGGTTCGCGCTGTGCCCTTGGAGTGACCTTTGAGGAATGTCTTGTTCTCTCTGGGAACTACCGGCACGTCGCAGAAGCACCGCAGCAAGGACCGATTCAGGCCGGAGCGCTTGGAACAGCTGCCTCTGAACCTTACTCTTGCTTTCCCCTGCTCCCTCAGTGGAAATACTGCCTTCCCTCTGCTCTCTTCCCCCCCACCTCTACCAGGTGCGTGGATCAGCTGGAGCGGAGAGCAGGACCCGGGGGAAGCCATGCCCTACTCTGCCGGCAGCCCTCCTGCTTGCAGAGAGCAGCCGTGCCGGGGAGCAGAAGTAAAACGCCGCTCAGCTCTCCTCTTTCCATGGCTGGAGCGCTCCTTGGGGCTTTTGTCACCTTGCCTGCCCCCTCTCATCCCCCCCTTCACTAAAGCTGTCTGTGCTGGCACAACCATGAGAGGCTGAGGCCGGTGGAAGCGAGGGATGGTCGCAAATAGGTTGGAAGCGACTGTCCAGGCACGGCACATGTGGACAAGCTCCATCTGGGAACGTTGTGTGAGGAGGGGAGGGAGCTGGCACAGGGGCTGACGTCAGCCAGTACCCGCTTGGCGAAAGCAGCGCTTTCTGTATGAACCGCGGCCTCGTAAGCAGCGTGGTGGTGGGAGAAACTGGGGGGGAGGTTGGGTTGGGTTGGGTTGGGTTGGGTTGGGCAAGGAGGCAGTGGCACCAGCTGCTCTAGCCAGAGCCGATGGCTGTGCTGGTGCTGTGGGCAGAGCTCCAGCCCTGCTGCCAGCCTCCTGGCTGGAGCGAGACCTGGGATGGGCAGAGGGGTGGCTGCAGTCCCTGACCTACCCCTGCTCTCTCCTAGGCTGGTGTCGGCGAGCGACCGTGAGTCCCGGCTGGAAG